ATTTGAAAGTGACACTTGCGTGTGTTTGAAAGTGATGGGAGTTTTAGAAGCTGAGAAATACAGAAACCGGAAACCCCATGTCACATTCCAACATTCATTTCGTGTCTTAGAGGAGCTTGCAGATAGTTTTCTGTTTAAGTCATCCAGATTTCAGCGGTGGCGGAGGCTTCTGGTCGTCGTGCAGTGCCTCTTAGCCGTGAAAACTGCCAGGCAAGAGCTCCGTATCTTCTGCTCTTCCCCGATACGTGGGAAAACCCAAGGAGGGGTTAGGGGTTGTGTCATTCAGCAAGTTGGCTGCTGACAAAAATAGAAGCCCTTATCTGGTCAGTCACCCTGATTTGAAGGCTGTATTTTAACTTTACAAGAGCAGGACTTTTGACGGCTTCCTAGAAGGAAGTATGACTGCTGATGGTTGGTTGTTGGGCAAGTGCTTACGCTAGCTGTAAGGCATGAGAAAAGTGCAGTTTCCTCCCTGGTGTTTTTTTTTTTTTTCTTTTCTGCAGGCTTACTGATTTGAATACTTCACAGTATACACCTAAATTTTGACTAACATCATTGTTGTAAATGCAATTTGATGAACATACCTAATTCTGCTTACTTGTCTTTGCTACTCAGTCAAGTTAGTGTATTTCTTTAAATCCTTTATGGAGAGGTGCACAGATTGTAAGGCACTGCCTCCTCTTTAATGTGGTTTGGTGAAGATCAGCTGCAGCTGTCTCAGTCTCAAACTTCACCTGATTTTTGGGGAGGAAATGTAACAGGATCAGCCACTAAATAATTCTTTGCTTTTCCCACCAGAGGGCAGATAAAGCTTGCAGATTTTGGGCTTGCTCGGCTCTACAACTCTGAAGAAAGGTAAGCTATATTTACACTGTGAAAAAGCATTCGGGAGTTGAATATTTTGTGCATAATTATGACTATTATGAGGGCCAGAAGATATTTTTGTTCAGAGGAGGTGTTATTGTGTACTGTCATACAAGTAGTTGCTTGAGAAATGGAAAGAAGTGTGTGTTGTCTTCCGCTGCATAAAACCACGAATACACCGTGCAAGTGTGTTGCTTTTCCAAGTGTTCTGGATAAACACCTGTAGAGAGTGGCCATATATCGATTGGAAATGAAGAGTTGCAGCCCTAAATAGGTTGCGTCAGTACGTAGGTGTTTACTACCAGTTTCTGGCCCTGTAAACCTAAAGTGTATTCTTTGTGTTGGTATACCTAGGAAAAGTTAATTTAGGCAAAGCGGTAATTTTTTTTTTTTGCCCTCACAAATCAGTACACAGTTTCTCTTCACAAAGCATTACGTTTGTGTAAGATTTTAACCTTACCTTTGAAGAGGTTTATTGTATTCTTTAGGCAGTCAGTGATGTTTAATCTGCTGGAAAGACAGATCCAAGTTTAAATAAAAGTTATTCTGAAACATCTTGCGACTTGTGCTTCTGTTGTTCTTGGCTTCGTTATGCTTGTGGTCCAGGAAACAGGTGCACATTTTTTATGATTTAGAACGTCAATATTTATATTGTAATGTCATGTGTTTGTCATGGGGAACTGGATTTTCAAAATCCAGGCTGAATGCTCATGACACTAGCATGTACATCGGGGGGTTGGATACAGGGAATATTGACTACTTGAGCTTTGGTTTCTGCATGCCTAAGTTGGGAAATCATAATGTTGGCTTTGTTGTTTTCTCACAGACCTCTGAGCTTGTTGTTGAACCTGATAGCCTTAGTTTCGCTGTCTTCTGAGCTGTCATTTCAGGAATATATGCTGAAGTACAGTTATGAAAAGTGTTGAGCGTAGTAGTGGGGTAAGATAATCTTAAGTAGCTGCTGGGTAATTAATTTTTGGTTTGGTTGTACTTATAATAAAAGGGATTGCTGCCATCCTACTTTCTTATTTTAACCTGCACCAAACTGACCTAATTTTTTTTTGATCTGGTTTACTCTGTTTTTTTTAATGTCTGTTTTTAAATGAATTTGTTTTGCTTGTAAAACTAACTGTTCATTAAGAACTGAACAATTGGAAGTTTAGTGTCTTCAAAGTGCAAACAACAGATTTTCTTATACCTCAAACAACAACATTATTAGGCTGTTATACATAAATGAAACCAAGATTAATATGTAATTATGCTAGCTAATAGAATTGCTAGTTGAACTTGGGTGGATAATTAGAATCTCATTAGTAGATTTTTGACAAATCTTTTGTCGTTAGTTTTCCTTCTGAGTAGCTTCTGACCTGCAGTAACAGACGTAATTAATTGTAGCAACATGTGTATAATAGCTGCTGCTCTGAATTAATGTATTTTAACATTTGTTTTACTGTTGTTTAAAATGATACGTTTTCAAAAGGGTGCAGAGTTTAGTAGGAGCATAGTGGGGAGGAAATAAAAATTTAATTTTGAGTAAATTCCCATCGGTTGTTGTAGTTGTGCTCCTTTAAATGTTATTCTGGTGGATTTAATGTGTGTGGAGTAGGAGATATGACAGATTGTGTAAGAAAACATCTGTTCAAATAAAAAGCACCTTATACTAATATACGTGAGTGGTGTATCTGTAGAGAAAGCCCATACCGTGTAAACATTTCATACAGGAATGCTTGCTTCAGAGATACATATGTGATAAATGGTGGGATTGTTTCCAAAACCATGCTACGTTTTAAAAATGAACTGGGGAGTTTCTTAACGAAAAAAAGACTCGGGTGGTTTTGCAGAAACAACACCTGTACCACTGGCTGTGTTACAGGAGTTCGTTAGGCTTTATGCGACGGCTGTCTAAATGCCACACGTAACGTTACCTTGCTTTCTCTTTGGAGTTGCCTCGTGTTGGTAAACGTGAAGTAGTAAAACTGAAAGAATTTTGGGATCACTTTTAGGACATCCTGGTTGAAACGAAACCAAAACCTAACATCTGCCTTCCATTCGGAACTGTTGATGCTGTGTCTCAGCTTGTCCACAACAAAATGTGTGTCTAAGATAGTGGAAATCCTTGCCTTAGTGTGAGAGTGGAAAGGATTATTCCCAGTGACCAAAACTTCTGGTTAGAGCTGTAGAGAATTTAAGGTGCTGTGAAACACAGAAAGATATTGGAAGTGGTCCAGGCTTTGAAATCAAAATTGTTGAAGGATGTAGTTCAAGAAAAAGGCTCCGTCTCTTGCTCTTTTCCTTTTTTACAGAGGGAAAGTGATTTATTTACTTCTTTTCAAAATGCGTGTAAAGGTGCTATATTCAGTATTCTAATAATCAATGGTTTCCCAGGAATTGCGTGTTTTATCCAAGCAGGTCCTTCTCCTGAAATGACTAGCAGTGGAATAAATATACAGCATTTCTATCTGAATAGTGATACAGGATTCACACAGCATCGAAGCGTCTGTCGAATGGTGATTATTATTATTTAGATCTTCAGTCTGTCCTTTGATAGCCTCAGTCAGACGGCTGCCTTTACTTTTGTGCAGTTGCAGCTTTGCAGGACTGAAACTAAGAAACGGGGGTGGAAGACTGTACTGTTCCTAAGCAGCACCGCAAAAGTAAAGTCCTCAAAGTATCGCTTTTACAGAAGTGAGATCGTAGTAAAATCATAGTCCTCTCTTTTTTTTTTTTTTTCCTCCCCCAACAGCCGACCCTATACCAACAAAGTTATTACATTATGGTATCGGCCTCCTGAACTTCTGCTGGGAGAAGAAAGATACACGCCAGCTATCGATGTCTGGAGCTGTGGGTAAGAGTTTGGCACAGAAGTGTGGAGCAAGCATAAAATCAAGCCAAAAATAAAACTTAAATGTTTCCGTCAATCTGTATTGAAAGCCATAATGATGGAATTGTGCAAAACTGTTTTGCAGCTGCATCCTGGGTGAACTTTTTACAAAAAAGCCAATATTTCAAGCAAATCAAGAACTCGCTCAACTGGAACTTATAAGGTAACTTGCAGGCATACCACCCTGTAGGTGCCTCATAAACTGTCAGCTTTCTGTTGTTAGCATTAAAGTCGGAGAGAATGCGCTGCAAATGTGTACAAGTGCTTGGCTACTGCCCTGAGTGAGATGTTAGAGGTTTGGAGGGGCATGCAAAGTGACTTTTGCTTGGACCGTGAGTAGTCTGTGGTCCTAGCCATGTACAGTTGAATAGTGAGAGGTTGTAGAGCAGCTGGAGTTGTCTGTTACTGAAGCTGGAGAGAGAGAGAGTAGTCAAAATGCCCATTATTTTTTTACATGATGTTACAACTTCCTTACAGCAAATCAAAATCGAAACATGAACAATAATAAGGACAAGTGGGATTTGGGAGGAGTAGGTACTTGGCATGCTACTGGCCTTGAGTTCTTGCCTTCCACCTACACACCTGGGCTTTATTATTTTTGTGGGAATATTTTTGTTCCCTTACAAACTGTCAGACACTTTATGGCAGTAAAGACTCTGTTTCTTAGCTAAATAAATCATAGAATGACATGTATGTAACTCAGTGGAACCAGAGCATCTTTTTTTTTTCCCTTTATTCAGCAAGCAAAAATTTCTCTTGATTCTGATATAATTGACCTCGTAAGTGAGGAGAGGTCCTCTTCCTAGAAACAAGGGGAAAAGAGGGTGAGTCCTACAGAACTTACAGAACCTGAACAGTAAATGGTCAACATGATTTTAAAAATTAAATGAATAAAAAGTATTCCAGAGTTATATATTGAGATGTTTTCTAAAACAGATCAAATGGTAGCATATTTCTGTTTGATGTGGTGTTAGCTGGCCTGGAAAAATGAAGTTCTTAGGCGATGCAGAGCATATGAGTGGTCATTTTCAGTGTAAGGAGAACTAAACTCGTGTGTCGGGAAACTTTTGCTTTTGAGCACTAGATGGCATTGAAGCATGTCACAGTGCAGACATTTGAAGTTTTTTCTCTGTGTTGTACCTCTGGTACAGCAAACTAAAATTTAGAGATTTCCTTTTCCTGCTGCAAGTTCCTGTTTGTCGCTCATTTTTCCTCTTCACTGATGCTATGCATTTTTTGCTCTTTAAATGTAATATATCAATTTTATCAACGTCTTTACCACCGTCATGTTACGGTCAACAATGCACTTGTGTTTTCTAACTGTAATGTTCGGAGATAGAGCTGAAGTGAATTCTGATAGGAAAAGATAGATTTATTATTATTCTCTTCCCTCCTGAAAGTTACATACCCAATCAGTGTAAAGTCAGATTGGTTTGCATAGCATTCGGGCCATAACTCATAGACCTAATAGATCATTAGGTCTAACACTACCCATCTGTATCTGATAAATGGGAGGGGTGAACTAGGGAGTTGTATTTATAAAATGACCTTTTAAGGCTGCCTGCATCTGAGTTGGAAACCTTGCATGTATGGTAAAGTGCCTCGTTAGTTGTTCTCCTCAGGACTGTGGTGTTGGTCACCCTGTGTTTAGCCATCCTTGGTTGGACAAAATGGGTGGGGATGGAGGGGGAGGAATAAAGACTGGGCAACTCCATTTGAGGAGATAGATGAGGCTTGAGACATAAAACTCGTAACTGAAGTGAAAAATATACAGGTTTTCTCGTGGTTAGGCCTCGCTTCTGCCTTTAGGCCTCACTGAGATATTCCACCCCCCCTTATGTCTTCAACTAAATTCTCAATGAAAAGTGCTTTTCCAGCCGTTTGGTCTATCTTGCTTCACTGGCACTGGGAGCTGAGGACATAAAAGTTAATTAGCACTCTAAACCTGGGCTGTCCAGTTCTCCAGGTCAAATACCTGGAGTACTGTTCAGACACAGTTGCTTACGTTTTTCCAAACGTCTGTGTGGAGGATGCTTGGGGTGGGGCAGAAACAATGGACTTCTTAAAGGAAGTTTACTCTGTGCAGGGTGATTACCTTTCAGTTCATCATTATTTAATGGGGTTGGGCGTTGGCCAGTAGAGAAATTTTAGCTAAAAGAACCTGAACATTAACATTAAAAATTACTTTTGTATACACTGTACGTGCGAGAACAAAATGACAGCTGTGCTCACGTGTGGTTTTGGGTCTCATACCTTTTTTTTTTTTTCCCCCCCTTCTTTTTGGTACAGCCGAATTTGCGGGAGTCCTTGTCCAGCAGTGTGGCCTGATGTTATAAAATTAGCTTATTTCAACACAATGAAACCAAAGAAGCAGTATCGTCGAAAACTGAGAGAAGAGTTTGCTTTGTAAGGATGAAGAATTAGTTTAGTCACCTGTCATAGCATTCACTTTTCCTGGAGACTTTATGAAGTTCGCTGTTTTCTGGAGAATGAATGTAGATTAAGTACAAAGAAAAATGGCTGTAGGTTTTGTCCTTCCCATGATACCCGCAGAGCTTGCTTTAACCCTAATTTAATTAGAGCCTCAATAAGAGGGGAGAGAGCCCAAACCTTTCAGCCACCTATCAGCTTTCCCCTAAGGAAACATTTGTTTTCTGTGATTGGTACACCTGCTTGTTGTCCCTGTCCAAAAAACCAGCTCAGAGTACTTCACTGGTTTTTATTAGGACAACTGACTACAGCTAAATATGTAGTCTGGTTAACATGACAGCCTTTTGGGTCATGAATTCATTCAACCCAGAGGAGCTGTCTGAGCTGTGCACTCTAAGTACTACCATTGGACTAGCTGTGTGCAAGTATCCCACGTGAAAGTTACGGGGAGCAGCTGTAAGCTTGTTTTCAAGGATTTGTTCCCCTCCTTCAATTACCATAGGTTTCGGGAGAAACGGATCATCCTGTTCATACTAATGAGACTTCTGTCTTTTAAGCAATAGAATTATTGACCATGGACCAATCAAACCTGAAACTCCCCGGGTGCCAAAGTGTAAAGTAACAATATAGTCTTGGCTTTAAAAGATGGGGTTGAGGGGTTTTTGGGGTGGGTTTTTTTGTAAGGACAATGTTTCATGCAGTTGTTAAACCACAAAAGCAAAGAAAGCTTGGGCTGTACACTTGCCCAGGTAATAAAAGGTGAAGGTTTAATTTGCCTCTTACTACCACGCTCAGATGACGAGTGGGTTTTGTAAGGATGTATCCGAGATCTACTTGATCTGTTGTTTTGGAAAGGATGTGTTTATTTAGATTTTGAAGTGTGTGATTCAAGAGAAAAATGTGATGCTTTTCTCTATTTTGCTCCTCTGCAGCATCCCACCAGCTGCATTAGATTTATTTGATTACATGCTTGCTCTGGATCCCAGCAAGCGCTGCACGGCCGAACAAGCTCTTCAGTGCGAGTTTCTGCGAGATGTGGAACCATCTAAAATGCCTCCTCCAGAGTAAGTATTTTCCTTTGGTCATGGCCCTTACCTCTAGGGAAGGTGAACATGTGCTGATTTCATTAAGCTCATTGTGTTTCAGACAGAGTAGAGGGTGGCAGAAAAAAAAATCATAGAATCACAGAATGGTTTGGGTTGGAAGGGACCTTAAAGCCCATCCAGTTCCAACCCCCCTGCCATGAGCAGGGACCCCTTCCACTAGACCAGGTTGCTCCAGGCCTCATCCAGCCTGGCCTTGGACACTTCCAGGGATGGGGCATCCACAGCTTCTCTGGGCAACCTGTCCCAGTGCCCCCGCACCCTCTCTGTGAAGAACTTCTTCCTGATATCCAATCTAAACCTCCCCACTTTCAATTTAACCCCGTTCCCCCTTGTCCTGTCACTACAGGCCCTTGTAAAAAGTCCCCCCCAGCTTCCTTGTAGCCCCTTCAGGCACTGGAAGGTGCTATAAGGCCTACCAGGAGCCTTCCCTTCTCCAGGCTGAACAAGCCCAACTCTCTCAGCCTGTCCCCATAGCAGAGGTACCTGCAGTTGGTTAGTGGTGATTCTGCACTGGAATGGTTGTGCAGCTGAGTAACTCTTACACCGTGGCAGCAGTGGTTGTGAGGATCTGAGAACTGTTTCATTTGTTATTCCTAGAGCTACTTATGAGTATTTAAAATTACTCTTACATTAAGGTTTCTGATGTTGAAAAAACTCAACCAGTTACCTCTGTTTACCCATTTCTACTTTTTCCAAGGATTTTGAGGTCCTCTGTGAATCTGCACTGCCACCGTTGGTGGTAGAATGACACTGGATATAGAATTCTGCAAAAGTATCTGAAAGCTAAAGTGGAATACCATAAATGGTTTCCTGTGCCAGATGAAGTTCTTGGTTTTACAGGCAGGAGACGTGGAATTCTTTCTGCAGGGTTTTTCCTGTCGGTTTGTCTGAGGGGAGATGTATTGCACTGTCCAGTAGGGTTTTTGCAATGACTAGTGACTTTAATTAGTACAGACCGTATTGGAACAGGCCCCGAGGAAAACAATGAAAAGGTATTACAGAATCTGGAGGTTTCATTCTTCCCTCAAGATAGCTGTCAGAACATAGAATATTGCCTATTCTTTGAGTAAATATGCCTTCAAGGCAGCCTGTACGGACTTTTTAATTGGTTACCAACTGGGAAAAGTGTGGGCAAGGACTGTGGGATACTTGTCACAATGAGTTCTTGCTTCCAGTAGTTTTTGACTAAATACTTGGCACGTATGTGGAGGGAGAGATTAAAGGCAGCAGTTGTCATAATTGCCCTTTCCAGTGGCTCTTGTCATCTGTCACCTAATTTTGCCGTGTTCCTGGATGAGGGAACTACTCAGGCAGTTGGTAATATGCAGGGGGAAAACAGCAGGCACTGTTGTTACTGCCTGTCTCGGTATTTCCATTATCTGTGGGATGGATCTCCGGGTACTTCAGGAAATCAGAACTGGGATGCCTGCAGGGAACAGTAATGGAAGGACAGAACTGGTGGCAGATGACTTCTTTAGGAGACTTGCCTCGACTTTTATCTGTCTTAAAGGACTGGGATATCCCTTGTTTTTCTTAGTATTCTAATTTGGTGGTGTCAAGTGCTATTTATTCCTGCAACTTATTCCTGCTTTTTTTTTTTCCTCCTCCTTTCTCGTATGTGGTGTACAACTCTGAGTACTAGACATCCATGTCTCTTACTGTGGGCAAGTATTTGAACTTCAGAAGCAAACAAAAGGAATTGGCCACCCAGACCCTTAAAAAATCACTTGTTAGTGGTGATTCTGTTTCTGCAAATTCTGTTTTATAACAAGTGTGCAGCGTTGATTTTGAAGTCTTGAATTACACAAATAATTAGGCTTTCAATAAGTATGATTGCAAGAAGGTAACGTTGATTCTCATTTTAAGATACATGTTCCCCTTTTCTGCAAGAGGCACCTGTGAAACAGGCAATCAGTGAAGGGATTTCAGCCAGAAAAAGCAGATCTGGGATTTTGCTGGCTTTGAGTGTTTTCAGGTGTATTTCCGAGTTCCAGTAGGTTCATCTTTCAGGAGTTACATTATGTATAATTTGAGCATATATTTTACCAACGTGGTTTAAAGAAAAATAAATTTCCAAAGCCCCAAAACTGTGTTAGAACTGATTCTCTCTCATTGCTCTTTGCAGCCTTCCTTTGTGGCAGGATTGCCACGAGCTGTGGAGTAAGAAACGCAGAAGACAGAAGCAGATGGGCATGACTGATGACTCGACAGCAGCTAAAGTCCCCAGGAAGGATCTCTCTCTAGGAATGGATGAGAGCAGAACCAACACCCCACAAGGCATGCAAACTTCTTCCCAACTCAAAACTCAGGGCAACTCTAGTGTAGCACTTGGTCAGTAATATTTTCGGTTCTTATAATTACCTCCTACTTGGATTGCACCTCTAGAAATTCTAGGTGTTCTTTTCAGAGTTTGCCAGCTCCTGGATTCTTGAGGGAGGAACAGTATTGTAAGTTAAATCTTTTGTTACAAAAGATTTATCTTTGCTTTTGGAAACTAGGTGTTCCTTTTAAGTCTTACTTATTTTTTCACTCCAGAGCAACTACGTTGCTCTTACTTTGAGGGGATTTTCTCTCTTGCTGATCTATACTTCTGTAATCCCACGAGACTTTAAATTCCTCACAGTCTCCATAGATGGGAGGAGCTTTATTGGTATTGATAAACTGATTAGAAGGCAGATTCTAGAAAAATAATTTCAAATTAAACAGATTGCTTCTGCATGTTACATTAGTCTTCAGCTTTCCACATTATTGGGGCTGAACCAAATTGTAAATAAAAAAAAGTAACTCAGACAAACTCCACAAAACCTGATGTAACAAGAAGTGGATACCTCTGTAAACTGCATAGCCATTAATTCTGAAATTTAACCAAAGTGTCTTGCTTGGAGACCAATTTTATGAATGTAATATAAAGAGTAAAGCAATGGTTCCCTGGGTGGACACCATTTGAGATACTCATTCTGGTGATAGTTCCCTCTTCGTATGTGGAAATATACAGAGTAACGATACCAAATGGATATTTCATCAGTTTAATTTAGACCGTTTTGATTGAGCAAAGTGACCATATGGCCCTGGTCACGGAAGGGTTTGGGTTGGAAGG